ATAGTAAAAATTATAAAAATTTAATAAAATATAAATATATAAAATTTATTTTAAAAATTATATATATGTGTGTATGTGTATGTGTTTGTCTTCCATTGTCCTTTCAGTTTATCTTTGACTGCAGTAGTGGGTTCCCCTCCAGGATTTCTTTGACACTGTAACAGCAAATTGTTCTCCTAATACAAATATCTGCTTAAAGAAGAGCACGTAATTGAGGCTTGTCCCTACTGCCAGGGTTTTACAAAACAGAGTGGAAGGAATGGATCATTTCAAGATAGGGCTTCATTGTGGATGGAATGAACTCTTCCATTCAAATTCCCCATATACCAGGATGATCAATCAATCCCAACAAAGATCTGTAAAAAAAAACCCCAAGAACAAAACAAACCAAATGTAAGAAGAAAAAGAGAATCAAGCATGATCACTTTGTATGGTCCAATGCATCACTTCCTTCAATTCTAACTCAAGAAACCAGTCATGTCCATTGATACAGATTTTCATTTATTCAATAATGAGAATCCTTGTTGTACAAAACCTTTTTCCTCTCAGATCACTCACACTTTGTATTCCACACTGCAAGAAGCAATTTGGGATTTATCTGTTACATGTTCACACCAATCAGTCCAGTTCAAAGATAAAACCAGTCATGACAACACTCACCACATATATTATCATCCCCTAGGGCCATGTCAATCCTAGTTCACACCCCTCCAACTAGGATGCCACATTTGTTGCCAGTAGTAAAAAAACAAAACAGAACAGTCTTGTTAACAGAATCTATCTCATTAACCAAAATCAAAAAGTGAATATTTTTCTGGATATTCAGTTATTGATGAATTGTGACTTTTTATCAGTACTGCATTAATTATTATCTCTGATCCAAAACTATGGTCAAATCCAACAGAACATGCAGTAGTTATTTTTGCTAGTTTTAATAATAGCTTTTTTGTTCTAATTCTGTCCACGTTGTTTCAATTAATATCTGTTCTGTTTTGACAGTTGAATCGAAGTGATAGCGATAGCTCAACGCTGGCCAAAAAACCTCTCTTTGTGAGAAATTCCACAGAACGGCGGAGCTTGAGAGTTAAAAGGGTATGTGTTGTTTGACCATTTACTACTCATTTCTCTATATATTTTTTTTCAAATACTGTGCTATATAATAAAGGTTTGTTTGTAAACTTAACTGGTGTGCATGCTACACAAATAGGTATGCATGCACACATTCTTATTGAAGAAATAGGTCATTATCCTGCTTCTTCTCTTTTTCCAAGATCTCATTCTGGTAAACAGGAAATGGGGTTATTTCTTTGAGAACAAGGAGTAGCAGACATGTGTTTTGACACTGCATTTCCCCTTTTTTCATGCCACAGAATTTTCATAGTAAAACTCTGGGCATCTACAGGATTTTTCCAGGGTAAGAGTAAAGCTGCAAATAGTGTAGTTAGTGTGCCATTAAAATATACTTTTCAATTGTTCTTGTATGTGTACCATTGGATATTTTTGGCAACCTTTTTCATAAATTTGACAATGCCACCTGATTTGTCAAGAAAATTGGGACTTGGACATGGAAAGCTGCTGTATACAAGTTCAGATCATTGTCCCTTTAATTCAGTATTGTCTAAACTTACTCCCCAGAGATATAGATTGGAATCTTTCCCAGCCCTACCTGGAAAGATTAAATCTGAGACTTCCTGCACGCAAAGCAAAGACTGAATATAACTGAATATAACTCTTTCCTTCAAATTAGAAATTTATCATAGCAGCCTGTTGCAAATGCTTTTTATTTTAATTTAATTTAATATTTCAATTTTGAGGCCACCTGACTCCACTGCAATTCTGAGCATCTTATAATTAAAAGAGGATTATAAAGAAAACTACATATATCAAAGAAAGTGGGGATGGGGAGAAATGAATATACTTGACCAGAATTTTACTTGCACATTGTTAATCAGACACTTTTTTCATCAGCTAACAAATTTATATTGCACACCTGCTCTTAGAACTGTATTTGTTCCTGGAACTGTGAATGTTACGTTTTTTTTTGTTTTTTGTTTTTTAAAGATTGTCTCAATAGTGTCAGAGAACAGGCCTATCATTTCTAGCAGTTGTAGTGACAAAAGCCTGGGCAGCAAGTCTACTAAGATTAATAGACCCATCATGGACAAGTTATACTCTATTCTTTTTCAGCTGGTAAAGCTGGGATCCAGACAATATACTTCCAACTAAATTCCAAGGAAACTGATATGTTCTCAAACAGTGTTTTATTGATGTCAGCCATAGACTGATGCTTAATTTCAATTACATAGAACCCCTCCCCATCATTTAAAAGGCAGAACAAGCTAATCACTTTGAGCACCATTTGGGGGGAAAGGTGGGATGCAAATTTAACAAAAAATAAATACTTCCCTTGGCTTCCTTTAACTATGTAATGATGTTGGATCTAGCATAAATTTACCCATAGGCTTGCTTTCCAAAAAACATACAAGAGTTTCCGTAACTTCATAACAGAGTTCTTTATAGTACATGAGAATACAGTACATGAATTTCTGAGCAGCCATATATTATACAGCCTGCATTAAGAGAGAGGAGAGACCCTGAGAAAACAAAGTTTTCTTGCTTACTTAACACTATATATACATACACTAGGAGCTTCCCTCAATCTTTAATAAATTGCATAGCTGCTGCAGTTTTCCCACTTATATTTCCCTAAGCAAAAACCATTCTAGGAGACTGGATAACAGACATGGAACTAATAAGAAAAGCCTCTTGGAGCAGGGCATTGTTTCATCTACTCCATGGAGTGGCTCAGGGGATGCGGTTGAGAAGCTTACAAGCCTGGACTGCAGGGCTCTAACTCCCTTTGCCTGATGTTGCCCAGCCAACTGCAGTCAAGGCATGCTGCTGAAGGATTCAGCAGGTAATAAAAAGCTTTGGTTATTAATGGTCATTGGTTGCATGATCTTCCATGAACCTTTCCAATCCCTTTTAAAAACCTCCAAATTGACAGTCTACCACAACTGCTGGCAGTGAACTCCAGTATAACTAAGAGTTGTGTAAAATATGTTCCTCTTGTTGATCCTGAATCTCCTCTGTAACATTATATAACATTTCTTTCTTCCATAAATGGGCATAGCACTAGAGGTATATTTTGAGGGCTGGTAGACCTCAGAGTTTCTCAGCCACTGCCCTGCTGCTTGCTAGAGGTGTATAGTAATGAAGGATGTTACTTGCGTGCTTTAGCAGGATAGCGTTTTAAAAAGTTCACAATTTTTTTTAAAGCCAGACTTTTTTAAAATTTCAGAGTTAGAAATATTACAAGCTCCTGTTTTTTTGTTTTTGTTTTTTGAGGAATACACCTCAGTCCAAGCTGTACCAAAAACATTGCCTTTTGATATTAAAATAAAGTTTAAAGATGCTGTAGAATGTGTTTTTAGTGAGTTATCTCATTCATGTTGCCTAAGATTGTTTATGATTTATGATTACAGATCGTTACCTTATAAGGATTAAAAAACACTCCAGTTCCATAAAGACAACTGCAAAATAGAGGCTCCTTAGAGTTTAGTCTGATACAACTATGTTTGTATAAAAATAGTACCTTAGTGCCCATAGCAAATTTGTCATGTTTCACATGGGTATTCAGCTGTGTTCACGCAGGGCATGTATTATATTATATTCTTATTTTCTGGAATTCCTGACAACTGTAGCCTACTTGCCAGTCCAACCTGCGAAGAGCAACACGAGAGCGCCTGGTCCGTACTTCTCTTGACTTGGAGCTAGATCTTCAGGCTTCCCGAACCCGACAGAGTCGCCTGAATGATGAACTGCAGACACTTCGTGCTCTTAGGCAGAAGTTAGAAGAGATGAAAGCAACAGGTCAGACAGAACTTCCTCCATGTGTTTTGGAGGATGAAAGATTCCAAAAGCTTTTGAAGCGAGCTGAAAAAGAGGTATGAACATGAACTAAATAAAAAAGAAGCAAATGTATGATGTGCATTTTTGAAATTCCATGTGTTCAAATGAGATTGAAATCCTCAGAACATATACAATCTCTATATCATGGGTTCTATCTATCTATCTATCTATCTATCTATCTATCTATCTATCTATCTATCTATCTATCGATATTTCTAACTACCAAGTACTGATTTATATGGAGTTTTGGTGGTTTTAAATGTTCAGATCTCAGTGGCTCGTTGCCCTAGATGAGTCCAGGCATTTAAACAAAATGTTCAGCAAAATGAATACTGGTTTAATGTTCTAAACTGTTTTTCCACTGCATATAGCCTGCAGTGAGTTTTTTGCTGAGAACTTTCCTATTTTTCCTACTATGTGATGCTACTTCAGAACTGATCAGTATAGCTCAAATTATTGATCCCAATATTCATGATGGTGATTTAATCCAATTTAGTAATTAAATGCTCTTAGATATCAGTAAACACAGAATTGCCTTGGGAAGATTAGTTTTAGATATCAAAGGGGCTCAGGAGGTTTCTGTTTTTAACAAGAGGATAGCTACTTTTTTTTAAGGATTCATTTCCATTCTGCCTTTAAGAAATTGTTTCCTAGTTTTTAAAAACATTTAAAAATTTGGCAGAGCTGTTTGTAAGACTGCTGCCTTGAAGCAAGATACAGAAAGATCATGTTGTCTCAAATAAGGAAAAGCCAAATAATTAAAGCTGGGTTTTTTTATTAAACAACTTTCTGCTACTTTGAATGACTAAATATCGGCAAAACTCACAGCAATTTTTAGATTCCTAAGAAATTTCATTATGACCAAACTCACATCATCCTATGCTGGCAGAAGCTTGCTTAATAAAAGATTGGCCTTTCTGGCAGGAAAAGAAATATATAAAATTTTGCTGATATAATTAAAATGAGTTTGACATATAGGAGATCCAGAATACACCTGTATCTTCCACCCTCAATATTTTTAAAAGTGTCTTTTTTTTCTCTCCTTTCCTCACCTCTTGAAACCTAGATTGGGTTTTTGTTTGTTTGATTGATTGTTTAGCAAAAACAATACCCTGTCCCATGCCAGACTGACTGCACCAATGATGCCCACAGTCATCTTGGACCAAGGGTGTAGTGAAATAGGATTGTTTTCACGTGTTGTAAAAAAACAGGAAAGTGGAAAGCAAGTTCCATAACATAGGGGTTACTATAGAAAAGACCTGTTGTCTTGCCCACACCCATTTACCTTATGAGAAGGGGAGTCTCTCTCTTTCTAAATGACTGAACCAGATTGGAAATAGACACACTAGCACTGCGACGTCTGTTTTTAATGTTTTGGTGCCCTCTTCAGTTGTATCATTTACAGAAGCAGGCCTACCATAGGAATACTGTACCTATTAAAATGCAAAAGTCAGTAAACACTTTTAAGGCTTTTAGTACACTAATATAAAAAGTTAAGAGAGGTATTAAAGCAGTGAAATACTTTATTAACACAACAGGAGGGCATTTAACAAAACTAATCAACATCACAGGAAGCAGATAAATGAAATATAATTTAGATTGTGATATTATATACTTTTAATTGTCAGAAGAGTTTTTAAATCCTTGGCTAAAGACTGATTATAAAATTCTGGCTGTATTTGTTTCTTAGCTCATCCGAAGGGTAATTAGATAGCTTATTGGTTATGCAAAGCCACTTTGGCATGCAAGGTTTTGCATGACCTGGTGTCTTATTTAGATGCTGTTAATCCATCTACAGGTCTTAATAGGAGGGTTGGCATGCTAATGGAGCTTCTGTTTGGGACATCACTTTCTGGTGTACAAACATTAGCACATGGATTACAGTCCCATTGAAGAAACTGTCAAGAATTAGGTAGACCTTTTCATTCGCTCAACGTTTTAATTAAATCAGCCCAAAGTCATTTCCAGTGCCAAAATGTCTTTCCTTTTATTTCTGCTGAAGATTGTTTGCAAGATGCTATTTTCCAGCTTACTTAAGTCCTCTACCATATTGTCAGTTATGAAATGTTGGTTGTAATATTTTTCCACTAGGCTGAACAATCAAAGGAGAAAAAGAAACAGGGGTTAAATGCAGAAAAATTGATGAGGAAAGCTTCAAAAGATGTGTGTCGATTACGAGAGCAAAGCCAGAAAGTGCCGCTACAGGTGCAGTCTTTCAGGTGAAGATAAATTATATCTCTTTGGGCTTTGTAAAGATATTCAGCAATTTCAACATTGACTTTTTCAACTTCAGTTTATTTATTTATTTATCAAATTTGTCACCACCCATCTCGTTGAACGGCTATAATATATAGTTCTAGAATTAGACAATGCTCCAGCATTAATTCAGGGAAACATATTTTAAGATTCATAGTTGCATATAGCTTTCCCACATCTATGAGTATGGTCCCAGGATTCTTCCGAAAGTTTGTGGCCAAATTGTAATTTTAAAAGTGACAGTGTTACACACATATGGAGTAGTTTTTGTCTTGGCACTACCCATTTTTGAAATGTGGTCCATGGCAAGTCCAAGTGCATGCTTAGTTCTAAAATAGATTAGAACATGTATAGCATATTCCTTTTCTTCAGGAGAAGGAGAAAAAGTAATAGTACTAGCAGCAGCAGCAATAGTGTTGGTGGTTGTGTGTGTGAATTACATTTCAGTGGTTTTCAATAATTGGAGGTGGAAAACATGTGAAGCAAATAAATGTAATTCACACTTGGACTGGACTCCAGCTCTGATAGGTATAGCAAAAGGTATAAATAGTCTGCAATAAATCCTCACCAAAGTTTCAGCCATTTACAAGACAAATTAATTGTGAAGTAGACAAAGAGTCAAGGTTTAGCTTTGTGGTCCCCTTGACCAAAAACAGCTCTTTGAGTAAAGAAGGAATGTGTTTTTTTTCCAGTGACAAGTAAAATATACTTGTTTTATGTCTGTTATCCATTAAAAATAAATTCACTATCATTTTCCTGAAATATTTATAGGGTGGGCAAAGGATCATATCAGGTCTGGTATATGAATGTGATAATTTGAATGAGTAGGTATTATATTCAGAGATAGTTTGAAGAAATATATTATCTACTATTTGTATCAAGGATAGGATTAGAGAAAAAGTTTAATCATATTTTAGGAAGCTCCTGTCCAATTAACAAGAAATTATTTACACCGGAGGAATAGCACGCTGACTATCAATAGTCAGTTTTTCCTAAGTAATTCACCTGGCTAGAAACACACTGATAAAATAGTGCTTATAGTTCAAATTAAAATCATGGCCATTTTAGTTATTGAAAAACTTCCCTGACCTCTTCCCTAACTGGTAGCCAATCTTACTTTGTAACCATTAGCTAAGGGAATTGTTACAAAATTAAGAGAGCTCATCCACAGTAAATGTTATTACTCACCACCTCCTTGACCCAGCCCCCAAGGCAGCTGAATAGTTGTTAAGAAATGTCCTAACAATGGATCTTGAGGCAGGCTGAAGTCAGATCACGGTAATTTGGCAAGAAAGTAGCATTTTCCATCAGAAAACAGAAGATCTAAAAGAACATCTTATGTCATGTAGAGGAGTCTTCACAGGGTCAGTGACCTGCAGCTGGTATACTGCATGACTATTCCTTCCCATATGACCACAGGGCTCTATGTGTCCATGGCCATTCCTGCTTTGGCTGCTACAGAGAACAGAAGAGGTGGCGTATTTTGTTTTTGTCTCAAGAAATACTGACCTTGTATAAGTTCTTCCATGAGGTCGCTAGTCCCATTGGTAAGCTCCAGCTGGGGAATATTCCACTGTCTGTTTGGTCATTTCCCCACCCAGAATTTGGTCGGGTTGTCCCCCTGAAAACAAAGGGTAGGTCAGATCACTGTATCCATCTGGATCACAGTGATTGGCTGCTGCCAGAATTAACCCAGCAAATGTATCTAAGGGGAGTGACAACTGTAAAGCATACAAGCAGCAATGACCACACACGTCCAGTCTTAAAAACAAACCTTGAAAAAGCACACAGTCTAGAATCAAGCTTCATGCCTCCAAGGAACCCAGCACAGCTGAGAAGTTATGTGAGTAGAGTTGGGTACCAGTCGCCAAGTTTATTATTTTGCCAGCGCACAAATTGGAGTCTGCTGATTTGATATGTGGACCTACTCTTCACGTTGCTATGGTTCCAGGGTGCTCAGAATTAGCAAATGGTAATTGAATAATCTGTTCCTTTCACTACTCCCTACTTCAGCAGCAGAGGCATAATTCTCATCCCTGGGTCACAGTAAGAGTAATGTTGTAGGAGCAACATTTTTCAGAACAAGATATTTTC